GACCTGGGTGAACTGCGCAGCTACCTTGGCTTGCAGATCACCCGGGACAGAGCACGCCGCACTATTACCCTGACTCAGTCACACATGGTGCAGCAGGTCCTTCAGCGCTTCGGCTTCACGTACTCCTCGCCTCAGGCCACTCCTCTGCCTACTCGCCACTCGCTCTCAGCTCTGCCTTCGGATGAGTCCGTAGAGTCGAGTGGCCCGTACCCAGAGCTTGTTGGCTGCCTCATGTACCTGATGACCTGCACACGACCTGACCTTGCATACCCTCTTAGCATTCTTGCACGCTATGTTGCTCCTGGGAGACACAGACCGGAGCACATGGCTGCAGCGAAGAGGGTGTTGCGCTACTTGTGCAGTACGTCGGGCATGGGGCTTGTGCTTGGAGGGCAGAGTCCAGTGGTCCTCACTGGGCACGCAGACGCTTCTTGGGCTGACGACCAGGCTACGCAGCGGTCGTCACAGGGTTACACCTTCAGCCTTGGTTCCGGCTCTGTTTCGTGGCGGGCTACCCGCTCGTCTTCTGTTCTCGGCTCCAGTTGTGAGGCTGAGATCTACGCCGGTGCCATGGCTGCACAGGAGCTTCGCTGGCTCACCTACCTGCTGACTGACCTCGGAGAGCCGCCTCGTTCTCCTCCAGTGCTGTACGTAGACAACAAGGCCATGCTGGCCTTGTGTCGAGAGCAGAGACTGGAGCACAGAACGAAGCACATTGCTCTCCGCTACTTCCTTGCTCGTGAGCTACAGCAGCGTGGTCAGCTGCGGCTTGCGTACGTGGCCTCTGAGGCCAACACTGCTGATATCTTCACCAAGGCACTCCCGCCTTGTGATCATCAGCGCTTCTGTACTCAGCTGGGTCTTGTGCCTACCTTGCCTCACTTGCTCACCCCTTGACCTTGTTTGTACTGTTGCATATATATATACACCTGCTCTTGCTTGTCTAGCCTTATATATATATGCAATCCTGCATGTGAACTGGCCTTGTGGCCTTGAACTTGTGCTCGGAATGTGTGGTGACTTTGTGATCCACCCTGAGCTTGCTTTGCTTTGCTTGACTGGTCTTGTGACCCCTTGTTCTCCCCCACTTTGCCTATGGGGGTGTGTCAGATTTATATGACATAGCTACTGTAGGCTATAGTGGGGTAGCACATATGGGGTACAGTTTTCTAGGGTTTGCTTTTGTACCCAACTTTCCCTTAGTCAATCCATTCCTCGTTATTTATCAGGGACACCCAAGCAACACTGTGTTAAACAACACAATAAGAGCAGGAGTCCTTGACAAGGACTCGTTACTACTACTCGACGGCAGAGAACTTCAACGGGCACGAGGAACATGTCTTACCTGCCCCGAAGCCGACTTACCACATCGGCCGTTCACTCCTCATCACAACCCGAGCACACCCGCGTACGCACCACTCGAAAAGGTGTATAGCGACATCCTGTACAATCGGGAACCAGGACAAGTAATATACAACTACACAATCACCTTCATCGACGCCGCCACCCGTTACGTCTGGCATCTAAACCTACCCAGCCGCGACATGGTCCTCGAAGCATTCGCTGCTTGGCTACCAGTAGCAGAAAGAGAGTCGGGCGTAAAGCTGAAAAGCTTCCAGTCTGACGGAAGAGGAGAATACACCTCTCAGCGATTCAAGCAGTACCTGGCGGAAAGGGGAATCAAGCAGCTCCTCTCTCTTCCCTACGCCCATCAGCAGCAAGGTGTAGCAGAAAGAATGAACAGGACTCTGCAGAACAGCATGCGCAAACTGTTGCGTGGCATGCGGCTACCCAACCACCAGTGGCCTGACGCGATGGACCACGCTGTCATGCTGCACAACTTGCTCTCATCTTCATCACTACCGAACAACGCATCACCGCATCTGCTGTGGACAGGAAAACAGGGCAGCACAAAAATGTTACGAGTGTTCGGATGCATGGTACAGTACCGACCCCCAGCAGCACGAGCGGGCCGATTTTCACAACGCGCACAATGGGGACTACACCTCGGCATCAAAAAGAACTACAACGCGTGGAAAATCTTTGACGTCCACTCCAAGGAAACAGTAGCAGCACGCGACGTCATTTTCTACGAACGACTCACGCTCCAGACATACCTTGCCAACCTGCAAGAGGACCAAGATCCCACAGGTGGTTTTCGTGGTGACCGAGCCTTCGCCTCGGCAGCAGACAAAGCTGACTGGGACGAGCAGAATGTGGCCAACGCATCAGAAGAAGCTGGACCCCTTCCGTTTTGCTCCGTCGACGTCCCCATGGACGAAGATAACCCTCGCGAAAGTGTCAACGCCGAAACCTTCTACTACTTCGCCGACAACGGTTACGTAACACCTGCGACAGTCAACACCAACGAAGCAGAACGAGTAGGACCGAATTTCATACCTGATCCAGAAGCGGGAGATGAAGCAGCTTATCCCGAGGATGCAACTCTTCCCCGCTACTCACAGACTGGACTGCAGATTCTCGGACTCGTCACCGCAGTCCACGGCAACACTCTTCCTAAGGAGCCTGCGACGGTTCAGCAGGCTCTGGGGGGGGAACACAGGGAAAAATGGCGTGAAGCCATGGACAGAGAGTTAAAGGCGCTGGAGGAACGGAACACCTGGAAAGTTGTCCCCATCAGCGTGGCAAGGAACAAGACCATTCTCACCGGGAAATGGGTCTTCCGCGTTAAAACAAAAGCAGACGGCACAATTGAGAAGTTCAAAGCACGCTGGGTTGTGCGTGGATTCGATCAGGAGCACGGACGGGACTTCACCGAGACATTCGCCCCGGTTAGCCGACATACCTCACTTCGAATCCTCCTCGCGATCGCCGCCATGAAAAAAAGGAAGCTACGGCAAATCGATGTCGCCAACGCGTTCCTCTACGCACCTGTCGACGTGGAAATCTTCGTCGAGCTCCCACACGGTACCAACGGGGAACCTAACCAAGTCTGTCAACTGCTGAAATCACTTTACGGGATCAAGCAAGCTCCGCGGCTATGGCAACAGTACCTACACGCTCGCCTCATTCGCATCGGATTCCGCCAACTACCTCACGACCAAGGAATGTACCGACTCACTAAAGACACCGACTACATTCTGCTGATCGTCTACGTAGACGACCTACTCTACATCGGCTCCACTGACGACATCACCACCTGGTTCGAAGGGGAGCTACAGAGGGACCTCACACTCACGGTCTCCTCTACCGTCACACAGTACCTCGGCTTGAACATTCGGGAAGAAGAAGGCGCGATCTACCTCAACGCCGCTAAGTACGCCGACACCATCGCCAAACGCTTCGCGCTCACACCTACCACCATCTCTACGCCCTACCGCTACGCGACAGGAAACCACAAGGAAGGATCCTCTCTACTCAAATCCGCCGGGATACGCGACTACCAGAGAAAGCTAGGATGCCTTCTCTTCGCAGCTGTCACCTGCCGCCCCGACCTCTCATACTCCGCAAGCCAACTCGCCACCTACCTCAAGAAGCCTGAAGCAGAACACCTGGCGGAGCTCGGCCGCGCTCTCCACTACTTCGTCAGTACCTCAACGATCGGCCTAACTTACTACAAGAACACAACTACACCGACTAAATTAATCGGCTACGTCGACGCTGATCACGCTGGCGACTCCGACAACAGGCGCTCCCGCACCGGCTACATCTACCGCCTCGAACCTATCGGACCGATCTCCTGGCAATCGAGCAAGCAGGAATTAATTGCTCTCTCGTCAGCTGAAGCAGAATATATTGCACTCTGCTCAGCCACCAAGGAAGGACTCTATCTTCGCGAGCTGCTGTAAGAAGCGAAGTTAGCCGAGTTACCCAACTTCACTCTGTTCTGCGACAACCAATCTGCAATTCGCATCGCCAACAAAAATGGATTCGCGAACAGAACGAAGCATATCGCTCTGCGATATTTCTTCGTGAAAGACGAGATTGAGAAGGGGAGACTTGAACTATCCTACTGTCCCACGTCCGAGATGGCAGCTGACTATTTGACCAAGAAGCTCGGAAAACAGAAGTTCGAGTACTGCATGCTGCTGACTGGACAAAGCCACGTCACCAGCAGCGACACTCCAGAAGCGAAGGGGAGTGTTGGGAACAAACAATCTTAAGCGCCTCTGTCGTGTCGAAACACCAAGGCACAAGCGAAGCAGAGCATATCGAGGCACCAGCGAGTCAACCCTCGGAGGTTGAAGTAACCGCTGGAGGTTACGCGAAAGTCAAAGGTCAGCGACCTTCGACTTGACAAATGCAGCGCGACAGCAAGGACACACAACTGACTCGACATTGAGCAGTTGCCCGAGTCGCACTGTATCGAACCGCAACAGTAAAACAGTTTAATTATATCTCTTCGTATTCTTTGTACTCTTATATAAACCTTTGTACTTGCTTGTTTTAATCAACTTACTTTGCCCTCACATACCAGCGCAAGGTGGTTCAAGGACTTCATTTAAACGCTTCCACTACTACATCACTCTACCCAGAGTTTAACCCTATCAAAGATCCTAAGGGGCACTCAGCCCAACAGACCCGAAGTGCGTCTAGGATGACCCAAAGTGGGGTCAGCTGTGGGGCCAGCTTCGTGTCATCCCTGGAAAAATGGAAGTTTGACAAGAGCCAGGAACGCGCCCTTTGCGTTGGACAAAAAATATTACTTCAAACGTGTCAACCAACAAGCTGACCAAATTTTCGAGAAATGCTTCAAAACATACTACAAACTTCCATCCCTGACGAAGCGCGACTGACCGAGTGTCAGGTGACAGGTTTAAATATCCGCGCGAAATGGCAGGATTGAAAGGCTTCGATACAAAATGCTTCAGTACATTACACGATTTCTGACCCTTCTGATATATTCATTCTGAAGGGAAAGTACTTATGATTGGAGCTGCTTGAGAGGTGATGATTGGGGACATACCGTAATCGACATCCACCTGCTAAACATTAAATGTTGGTAAGTGAGCTACCTCATCTGCATTTGTCTACGCTAATCAAGTAGCCACACTCTTCCTTGCCGCTGTGAGAATCTTATGCAGCTCCAGAGCTTCGGGCGGTGACCCTTTCTTAGCAGCCATCTTCGCCACCGGAAACAACGCCCCGTCATTCAGCAAAAACGCAGGCGTAACCACTCCGGTGGTAACCAGATGGTACAGCGCAAACAGCGCCTCTTCCTGCGCACGTTCCGACTCACTCTCCAGCACATCCAACATCACCAGTGTCCCCTCCACCTCTAGCAAAGCTGCCTGTCCCTCCTTGGACTTCACCAGATTCGCCAACACAGCCATGGCCTTTTCTTCCACCCCCGGCCGCTTGTCTGACAGAGAATCCACCAGCACGCTCACCCCGCCCTCCCGGATTATCTCATCGGCACAGTCCGGGTCGTCTGAGAGGGCAAAGAGCGCGAGAGCCGCGTCTTTCCGGCACCGCGCCGCTTCTAACTTAAGCAGCTTGAGCAACGGAGGGATGCCGCCACATCGGAGAATCTTGTTCCGGTATCTGCTGCTCCTCCTCCGCCTCCCGTCCTCATCCTCCTTATCATCATCGTCACACGTAGCAATCGCAAACAGCGCCGCCGCTGCGTTCGAACGCACCGACTCCGAAAACTTGCTCGCAGCACCGTCGCCATCACCTTTCGGGCTGCCACCGTCCCTCCCTCCACCCTTTTTTCTGCACTTCCCATCCACTAAATCCACGAGAACCCCCACGCCCCCAACATCAACCACCTCTAGCGCCCCGTCGTAAGACTGTGTCAGCTGTAATATCACCGATACAGCACAGTCTAGCACTGCTGGAGCATCCATTCGGCTCTCTCTGCTCGCTCCGTCACTCCCAGATGCTACTAACGCGGATGCATCCTCCACAAGATCTACCAGAATTGGAACCCCGTCGGACCGGTTCACCACGCGCCGCCGCGCCTCGGAGCTTTCTTTCAGGGCAGACCGGAGCCGCATGATCCCTTCTTCCCGGTCAGCCGACGAGCCGCGATCGATCGCATCTAGCATGTCGTCTATCGTCCGCATCGATCGAGACGAGGACGAGAGGGACGGTCTAGGAGACGACGATGACGTGGACGAAGGGGAGGACAGTGGCGGGCGAGACCTAGGCGAACTAGCCGTGATGCTGCTGCTACCAGTCCTGTCCTTCCCACTGCCCGTGGCCCCACCGGCACCCCCTAGCCGCGTTTTATCCCTGGTTGGCCGAGGCTGGGGCGGCAGGTTTCTCGCACCAGCCCCACTACTGGGCTTTCTAAGAGGAGACGAAGCAGCGCCTGAACCTCTGTGCCTTGACCCGCTGCCCTCCTTAGCTCCTGCAGCCGAGGGGTTGGCAGGGGAGGTGAGCTGGCGCTCGAATGACGAGCTACCGGCAGGGGACCCTGGCGGTTCCTGCCCTTCTCTCGTCCGCTCGTCTAGGCTCATCGTTCTCCTGTCCGCCCATGCTTCCGGACCCGCTGCTTCCCCTTCCGCTCCGCCCCCCTCCGCTGCGCCCGCTGCGTCCGCGCCTTCACCTTTCGCTTTCCCTGCTCCCCCCTCTGCGTCTCCTGCGCCCCCTTCCGCTGCTGCTGTTGCTGCTGCTGCTGTCCCTTCCCCTGCTGCACCCTCCCCTGCTACTGCTGCTGCTGCTGCTGCTTCACCTGTGCCCTCCACAGCAGCCGCTTCTTTCCCCGAAGCTTCCGCTATCTCCCCTGGTTTCTCCTCTGCCTCTTTTCTCCCCGTTCTCCCCACATCCCTATCGCCTCTCCCTGCTACTCGTGGCCCAGCCCTTCCCACGCCTCTCCCACCTCCTCTCCCCCCTCGGTCCGAAGGAGGCCGCCTAGGTGAATACGTGCTGTCATCATCCCTTCCCCTGCCCCTCTCTCGCTCCCCTCCTCTCTCCCTGTCCTTCTCTCCGTACCTGTCCCTGTCCCTATCCCTATCCCTCTCTCGATCCCTGTCTCTATCCGGTTCCCTCGCTCTATCTCTGTCCCGGTCCCTGTCTCGATCTCTGTCCCTGTACCCATCCCTGTTTCGATCGCGGTGTCCTTCCCCGTCCCTATCCGAATCGCTATCCCGCTCCCGGTCTCTATAACCATCCTTCCCTCGTTCCCGCGCGGTGCCTCCTCCCGCGCTTCCCCCTCCCCCTCTCCCCCGTTGCCGCGACAACAGCTGCGCCGCCACACGCCCTGTGCGCGCTCTCCGCTCCTCCTCACTCCGCGGCTGCAGCCGACTACCTCCGCCGCCCCCCCTTCCCCCGCCACTCCCCCTGCCCCGCCGGTCCTCGTCCTCGCTATAAGCCTCTCGCGTACGAGATCCAGTCCGCCCACTCCCCCTATCAGACCCGCTATCGTCGTCCCGATCTCGATCCCCCGGTCCCCTCCGCCTCCCGCTCCCCGCGCTAGCAGACCGCTGCACATACGGCTGAGATTCGTCCGCGTCATCATAGTCATCTCCAGGTCGGCCCCGTCTCGGGCCATCCCTGTAACCTCCTGCGCCCCCCCCGCCTCTCCTTCCCGGGCTGCCGCGGCTAGAGGACGTCGGAGACGGTTCCTCGTCTTGCGCGCGAACTTGCGCGGCAAGTTCCTCCTCGAGGCCTTCCGGGAGAGGCGCGAGATCGAGGTCGTGCTTCTCGCACCATTCGGCGATGAGGGCTTTAAGAGCCACGTTGGGGAAGAACTCGGTGTGGTCGAGTTTCATGCCGCTTTTCGGGCAGACGCGCCGGCCTGCTGCGAACCATACCTTGATCAGATCGCGCTCGTAGCTAAGTCCCGACGCGATGATCACCGGATCGCGCATTATGTCATCGGATAAGGGACAGATGAACTCGAGGGGAACCTCAAGATCGTCCTCCTCTTCAGCTTCAGCCATTGTTATAATAGACACTGGATACTATATGGAAATAATAGCTAACTTAGATGCGGTTCCAACCTGCAGGATTAGAAGTTAGAACGAATACACCTTGATCGGAACGACGTGTTAGGGAACCTGAAAACGAGTGTAAGGTACCACGACTACCAAAAGCTAGGGTTACGTTGGGGAAAACATAACTTAGGCGGGAAACAACTTACGTAACCACTCGATAGCAGTTTTTAACCGAGACACTCTAACGAAAATGCAGCAATAGTATCGAATAACTTCCCGCGCTCAGTAATAAAGTACGAGTTTCGCCTATAGTGACGGGTCATCATCTGAGAGAACTAATAAGCAAGCCAAGCTTTTCAGGCGAGCAGTTGGTCCACAAATGGTTGGTTGTTGCAGCATTGCCTTCAAGAATGACGAACCAACATTGAGATTGCCGAAGCCCCTTTGTCGGCTTGGCGGAACATAGCGGGTGGGGGCAGCGACAAGGCCGGACGCCTGGCTCTACAGCGCTGAGGGGTTGCCTGGCGAAGTGTTGGTGCAACAAGTGGCGCGAGGTTTCCCCCACCGGTCCATTTCCCCATCCCTCTCCCGCCTCAACCACCCCGCGGCAGTGCGTTGCGGAGACACAAGTGCTGGCGGAACTTCGTGCGGAGATATCTAGGTTTGCGGGAAGATTCGAGGGTGAGGGAAAGTGGGAGTTCATTGGAGAGAGCCGTTGAGGTCAATCAAATGTCTTGCGCACTTTTCGGTTTGTCAGAAATGCTGGTTACCGTAATGAGCTCGCAACTCGTTTGCACACTTCCGGCCCAAGAGAATGACTCGCCACTGCTCAACGATTCGGCGAGATCCTATCGCATGCACGGAACTGCCAAGCGGCGAACCTAGACTACTGTTACCAGTGCAGCTAAGTGAGAGAACTCAAATTGCACTACATAGACCAGTATCATGGTTTTGTTTGAGATCAAAAAGGAAAACAGGTCACCGTTGTTGAAAAACGCTTATAAAATGAAAATAACTAAATTTATTAGAAAGCAAGTAATTATAAACTGATATGATTAAAAGTTGGACGTGAAAATTGATCAAACTCACGCTGTTGTGATGGATAGATAAAACTTTCATCAGAACTGAAAGAGCCACATAGTAAACGGAGGCGAGGAACTCACAAACCTATGCATCACTAATATTCCCATGCCTCGCCGCCTTTCACCAGAAGCAAGGGCGATGTACATGAGCTTGCGGAGCCACATGTCCATCCCACGTGGCATGCATTTCCCAATCCGTGAATGTGTACACTGTACAGTTAATGACTCACCAAAATGAATTCACAGCTGGCTTCCCGCAACCTTTCGTCTCCACATCGCAGCCAACCCCAAGCGTCACTTGGGCGGCTCGGTTCCGGCGACGTCTCCACTAGAGGAATGCTGGTGCTTCATAAATTTCAATTGTGCATGTTGCAAATAAGCATTTTAGTTGTTCAAGATTCTATACCCGTGCTTACGAAACGCATAGCCACCAAAATCCACTAGGCGCTAATAACCTTCTTATAATATGGCTGCCCTCAGCTCGTCTTCTCTAGTCGCTCAGAGTTCCTCCAGCATCTTGGGCGAATGCACCTCAGCTTCTTCCTCCCCGTCGCACATACCCACGTTCTCTGGTCTCCGCACGCACGTCCCAGCGAAAGTAATTGCCGCAAAAAGCAAGTGCACCAGCGACTGCAAATGCTCGCGCCACCCCGCCATCCGCGCTGCAGCAGTTTCCGAAAACAGCAGCTCGCACGAAACCAGCGATGTCGCCACGTCATCGCAAGCGCTGTTCGCCAGCGTGGCACAGACTTCCGCTCCGTCGGCTGCACCTCCTGCTTCCTCTAGCATCGTCCCTGCCGTCCTCGCTGCAGGCCTCCTTGGAGGAGCTACGTTTGCGCTCCTTTCAAAGAAAGCCGCACCACCCGCGAAACCTGCCCCTCCTACTCCGGCCGTCGTTGCCGCTGCTGCTGTCACGTCCAGCTACACAAATGGCGCGGCGACTAAATTCGTGAAGCGAGCGGCGCCTGCCGCGCTGGCGACGATGGCGGCGACGTTTCCGAACGCGATGCAGGAGGAGACGTTTATGAAAGCGGTGGCAGAGGAGCTCCGCAACCTTGGCTTTAACCGAGACAATTGCATCGCGCTCGTGAACACATGTCGCGACGAAGTCTGCCGCCCAATTGTGAACCTCATCGACAAGGAGTTCGGCATGTCGTTCAACATCGCGGGTCTGGGAGGACTCGTGAGTTGCGGCAAGACGGGGTTCAAGGCGGCTATGTCGCATTCGCCTGAGTTCCCGTGTGAAACCGACGGCAAGCCACGCGAAAGATGTAAGTCCATTCTGACTCAATAGAAGTGAACTTTTTGAAACGAAAGTATGAAATAGTTAAACAAGGTCAAGACAAGTCGAATTGGTGAAATTGACGTCTCTTTTTCTGATGTCAATCAAACTATTATACCATACCCGTTTACCCCCCGGGCCCCCTGCTACAGACATATTTTTCGGGTTCCCCCACGTGTCGATCGGTGAGTCGGGCGAGGTGGGGTCTCTACTGCGGCGTGGACGCGGCAAGCCGTCGAGCGCGTGCGGAGCGCTGATTGCAATCAAGGGCGACATCCAGGCAGGCGGGCCCGTAGAAGAAGACCCGGATAATGCCGAGTATGTCTCTCTCAAAAAGAAGATCATTGCGCGTGTGAAGCCGTCCTCGACTCCTTCCGACGGCCCGTCGCTAGTCCAAGTCACCAGGGCCGCGCTCCAAGCAATTACTGATGACCTGGAGCATCTCATCTCCCTTACTGTGGATACCACTACTGCCGACTACGCCGTTATCACTGGCGTGCAGATTCACTCTGGCGATCAGGTTAGTACCCCTGTGAAGCACGCCACTCAACACTTATGCCGGGACAAAAAAACCTTCGCTTGAAGCTTTCTTTTTTTAACATCGAAATTGATCCAAACCCCGTGCCTCTCTATGCAGATCCCCGGCGAGCCCTTCCGCATTGAGCGTACCTGCGACTACATCGCGCCCAATGCCATGTACGCCGTGATTCGCGGAGAGAAGCACATTCTTCACACGGAGATCAACCAAATCACCGCCATCAAGTCCGTGCCTGCCGACTTATTCTCCAACAACTAGTTGCACCGACTCTTGAACGACTTCAGCTGTTTCTGCCATTTTTTCGCGTCCTGACAAAGCCAAGGATGCGTTGACTCTTTGACCGCTCGTGACTTGATGTTGCTCAATGTATGCTTAGCCAGTGAATAAGAACCATCATTTCCATGACAATGGAACGTTTCTCAAGAAAAGCGCAACGTTATTGATATTCTCTGTTAATAAATTCCTCGTCGTTGATACAAATGTCCAGCGGTAGCAACGCAGCACACAGCAATGGCGGAAATAATTTCCTCAGGATCGAGAAGCTCAGGCTGAATGAAGCCCATTAGACTCGGACTCCGAAATCGATGTTGATCCTAAATTGTGGCAGTATTTTGCTTGCTATTGCACTTTCAGTTCGAGCCGCTTTGATGCTGGCAACGCAAGTCCCGCCCAGAAGGGTCATCTGACAAAGATCACAGGAAAATCTGGCGCCAAATTTGGAGCAGGTTCAGCATCCACATCGGGGTTGCCACCTCGGATTATCTGAGGTGTATCTCTATATGGATGACGAGGCTTCGACCCAGTAACCTCTCCAACTCTTACAGCCGCAAAATTGTGGACAGCTGGAGCTCCACGTACGCAAACCTCTAGAAACGCGAAAGTGGTAACCATAGTGACGATGATAATCGATCGAACTTGGGGGATGCCCGAATTCAAGGGCAGGTTCAGAGGGGCGTCGCTTGCACGTTGATTGGCGGGCATCACAACCTGCACATCACCAAGCGCGCCGAACGTTCTGTATGCACACTGCCGTTTTCCGAGACTGAGTTCAGAATTCATTCATTCATTCCTCCAACGCCCGAAATTTTAACCAGGAAAATTAGCGCCATTCCACCACACAACACAAGCCAAGACTTGCCCGTGGGCCTGGTCAGACTCTCCCCTCCCTGTCACCTACCCAAGCAAGCACCAAGACGAGACAGAGGGATGAGCCTGACAGGGAAACTGAAACTGTAAAAGCTTTGGCCATTTCTAAATCACTTATCGCTCATTGATTCTTCCATCACTTCTCGTGCTTTGCAAGCAGAGCTTCTCGCCAAGTCCTTGTGTAGATCTTCAGCAGCCTCCTCCGCCTACCTAATCAGTTCGCAGGCTCGTAAGTTGCTGCCATGGCCACCATCAGCGCCCACACATTGACCGCGAGGAATCCTGCGGCTCTGCTCGGTCAAACAGAGTCAATGACTTCATCCAGCGCCATCCCCTCCTTCTCCGGCCTGCGCGCCGCCGCCCCCGTGAAGGCCGCCGCCAAGGCCGCCTGCGCGCGCAAGTGCAAGTGCTCCCGCCACTCAGTCGTCCGCGCCGCCGCCGCGTCCCCGAACAACGATGCGGAGACTTCGTCGCAGACCCTCTTCGCCAGCGTGACGCAGGTGGCGCCTGCTCCCGCGGCTGACAACAGCCTCCTCGTCCCCGGAATCATCGGCGCTGGCGTCGTCGGCGGAGCCGCGCTCGCGCTCCTGACCAACAAGCCGGCCGCGCCGGCCGCGGCGGCTCCCGCTGCCGCCAGCTCCGCGCCCGTGGCGCACGCGAGGCGCGCGGCGGCGCCCGCGCTGGCGACGATGGCGGCGACGTTCCCGAACGCGATGCAGGAGGAGACGTTCATGCACGCGGTTGCGGAGGAGCTCCGCAATCTCGGCTTCCGCCGCGACAACTGCATTGCGCTCGTCAACACTTGCCGCGACGAAGTCTGCCGCCCGATTGTTAACCTTATCGATAGGGAGTTCGGGATGAGCTTCAATATCGCCGGGCTCGGCGGGCTCGTGATTTGCGGCAAGACCGGATTCAAGGCTGCCATGTCGCACTCGCCCGAGTTCCCATGCGAGAAGGA